AAAAGGTCATTGCTAAAGAGGCTGGCTGTTCACAGAGCTCTGTGTCCAAGCACAGTAATAGAGAGGCAAAGAGAAGTAAAATATGTGGTAGAAAAAAGGGTACAAGCAATAGGAATAACCACACCCTGGAGAGGATGGTGAAACAAAACCCATTCCAAAATGTGGGGGAGATTTACAAAGAGTGGACTGCAGCTGAAGTCAGTGCTTCAAGAACCACCATGCACAGACATATGTAAAACATGGGTTTCAGCTGTCGCATTCCTTGTGTCAAGCCACACTTGAACAAGAGACAGCATCAGAAGCATCTTGCCTGGGCTAAAGACGAAAGGAACTGGACTGCTGCTGAGTGGTCCAAAATTATGTTCTTTGATGAAAGTAAATTTAGCCTTTTCTTTGGAAATCAAGGTCCCAGAGTCTGACGGAAGAGAAGAGAGGCACAGAATCCATGTTGCTTGAGGTCCGGTGTCAAGTTTCCACAGTCATTGATGGTTTAGGGTGCCATGTCATCTGCTGGTGTTGGTCCACTGGGTTTTCTGAGGTCCAAGGTCAATGCAGCCATCTACCAGGAAGTTTTAGAGCACTTCATGCCTCCTGCTGCTGACCAACTTTATTTATGGAGATGCAGATTTCATTTTCCAACAGGACTTGGCACCTGCACACAGTGCCAAAGCTACCAGTACCTGGTTTAAGGCCCATGGTATCCCTGTTTTTAATTGGCCAGCAAACTCACCTGACCTTAACCCCATAGAGAATCTATGGGGTATTGTGGGGTATTGTGAAGAGGAAGATGTGATACACCAGACCCAACAATTCAGAAGAGCTAAAGGCCACTATCAGAGCAACCTGGGCTCTCATAACACCTGAGCAGTGTCACAGACTGATTGACTCCATGCCATGCTGCATTGCTGCAGTAATCCAGGCAAAAGGAGACCCAACTACTGGTAAGTATTGAGTGCTGTACATGCTCATACTTTTCATGTTCATACTTTTCAGTTGGCCAGCATGTTTTAATAAAAAAAAAAAAAATCCTTTTTTTTTTTGGTTTGGTCTTAAGTAATATTCTAATTTTCTGAAATACTGAATTTGGGGTTTTCATTAGTTGTCAGTTATAATTATCAACATTAAAAGAAATAAACATTTGAAATATACCAGTCTGTGTGTAATGAATGAATACAATATACAGGTTTCACTTTTTGAATGGAATTACTGAAATAAATCCACTTTTTCATGATATTCTAATTTTATGACCAGCACCTGTATGTATGTATGCCTTAATATTTTGTTGGATGTGAAAATCAAAATTAGGCTTGAAGGTTTTTATCAAGTGGCTATTTATCGTCACATATGTTTTAATAGTTACAGAAATGTAAGACAGATTTATAAAGTGCAGCTTATGCAGCTTTTATTTTTCCATCACTGTGGTTAAATTGTCTAATGATGTTTTATTTCTTCCTCATTACAAATTGACCAAAGTATTTTACTTTGTCAAATTGGAAAATTTTGTTTTTGTCATGTAACTTTGCACATTTGTGTAACATATTTTCACTGTAAAGGCTGTAATCCTTTTTAATGTAAGGTATTATATCTATTTTTGTATTGAAAGGGGAAACCCTGTTCACGTTTTTTTTTTTTTTTTGTGCACTTGCTCTCGTCTGTGCTCTGAATTGTGTGTATTTCTGTTTTTCTCTCTTTTTGTGTCCTTTTCTTTCTCGCTCACATCTTCTCGTGACTCTTTTTTTTTTTTTCAAATCTCCTTGGTTCTCCTTCTACCCTCTCTATCCTTACCTTTTTTTCACTTCCTTTTTTCCTTCTCTCTCCACCGATCCCTTGCTCTCTCCCAGTGAAAGGCTGAGAATACCCAAGGGAGCTGATGCAATTAAAATGCTAATCCTGTCTGTCTACAGAGAGAGGGAAAGGGGGGGCTGACAGCATGAGGGATTGCGGCTCACATGGAGAACTCGACTGAAATGGAGAACAGGGGGTGGGGGGGCACTGGGGGAGATGTGTGTGTGTGTTGGGGGGGCGGGGGGGGAGTGCGCTGAAAGGGAGAAGGGGGAGGGGATGTGTGTTGGGGGAGACGGAGTGAAAAAGGGGATGCTAGTGAGGGAAAAGACAGACAAGGATAAAGCTTGTGCTGTGAGCTGAGCAATGATATACTGACTGCGTTTAAGCCTTATCTATGCCTATGTGTGGAAGGGATTGCAGTTAATGTACAGCACTACACTATTGGTTGGGTTGTTCACCTTTACCTGCACCACTTTATATTTTGCGTTGTGTTTGTACAGCGCAGTGTTTCCACATTTGCTGTGCAGAAATGAGAATGATTATGTATGCAGTGAGAGCCCAGCTGGATACCCTGAATATTTCATAGTATATGTTTCTCACTTAGTCTCTCAATGCCACACCGCCCAGCTTGGCTTGTAACATATGCATAATGGTGATTTCTAAAAGCTATAGATGTTGGCTATGGGGCTGAATTTGTATTTTATTTATTTCTAAACAATGAGACGAAATGAAAGTATAATTTCTTACAGCATTCTCAAGCCGTTTTCTCTTTGTAAGACACCCAGTCCAATGATAATGTAAAAAGACAGCAATTTAAATTCTGTAGAAAAACAACTTTGCAAGTTTTTGATCTGTGAGTCCAAATGAAAATTATGTTAAACTTTTAGTAATAGTGGGGTTCATATATATATATATATATATATATATATATATATATATATATATATTTGTATTTTTACATGTTTGTTATATGGTGTGTTTCTATGCAAGTTGTACTTTTCTCAACAGCTGCTATGATATCACCAGGCCACTAGACTGTGCATGAGTGCAATTCTGGGTAATCACAGCTTAATTGAAGTAATTAGGGGAATGTAGGGGCATTAGGCTACAGCTGGGGGGCCATAATGAGTCACAGCAAAAAGAGGGGGTCTAGGTGAAATGCTCCAATAGCTACCTTTGCCCTCTTCTTGGTAGGTCATTTGAATGTCTCAATGAAAAGACACATACATATTAAAATACATATTTGTACTATTAAAACCTGCAATCTGATGATCACAGACTTTGAGGTCAGTTTAATCTCTATAACCAGAATGTAAATAAATAAAGTTTATTGAGCAGTTAAAAATATATAGGTTATCTAGCCTAAAAGCACATAGATCGTTCAAATTTTTGAAAGGAAAAAGAAAGAAAGGAGGGGAAAAGATGGGCGAATCAGGGTCATTAGTTCAGGCGACTGGGTCTGCTGCATTCCTAAGCCCTGAGATGGGGGAGCAACACAGCAGGAATGTGCCTTGGGTAGAAAAGAAACGTTAGCGGAGGGGAAAGAAAAAGGCAAGAAGAAACATGTTAAAAAGAAGTGAACAAGAAAAAAAAAAGGTGGACACTATGTTTCAAAAAATCTGTTGCGAATGTAGAAAAAGGAAAAGCAACATTGTACTCATCTGTTATGCCACAGCACAGCTCTACTTGTTTATTGCCACTGTTTCAGTGCTGCAAATTTTTATTGTTTTTATTGTGCTGTACTACCGTATATTAATTTGTTGAGATGTTTATAGCAATGTGAATGGTTGTAACTACAAAATCATAAAATTAACAAAAAAAGACCAAAACAAACGACACACTGCAAGACTTTGGTGGGAAGCCTTGAGTTAATGGTACAACTCCTAATGAGGACAGGTGTCTGCCATCACTCAGTTATCATTCATACCATCTGACTCCTTCTGGCTTTTGGTGGGTTACCTACTGTTAAGTAATTTTTTTACTTTTCTTTCTTAAAATCTTTTTTAATGTTCAGTTTTACAGATCAACGTATATGTATGCTCTTTGTTTGACCCATTATGTCACACTTGTTCTGCCAATTTATTAATCTCAGTATTGTAAAGAAATTTAGGTGTGCAGCTTAGTGTTACAATCACTAATAATTGAACTATAATTACCTGTGTACAATTATTTTTATTTATTTATCAAATGTTAAAAATAAAAAAAAATAAGTGGGATAAAACACTATATACTTACATCCTATAAAGATCTATCCATAAATTATTAAATGGGTCTATATCTTAAGATAACACCACTGAATGTTTCCATTGTTATGTAAATATATTTAATCCGTTATAGAAAATAACTTATTTTCTGTCAGTTTTAAAAAATTTGGCATTTTCCCTAAATAATGGGAATATTGTTTAATTATGAATCAAATGAAAGTTGTTTTTTTTTTGCAATCCACTATCTGTCTCCTCTCATCACATTTATCTTCTAAATTTATAAATGAGTACTACCATAAATGTGATCCATGCCTTGTAATTTCTTAGTTCAAAAAACTTGATACTGTGGTTAGGATATTTAATTGTGGTGGTGGAAGAACTACTCTTACTTTCTGAAGTTGAATGATGGAAAAGCAAAAAGGGCAAGGGGAAATTTAGTAACGTGTTAAAAGCTGCAGGGTCTGAAAAAGATTGTCTAAAACCAAAACTTCTGAAATAGAGTGGTGTCTGTAAGGGTGAGTGTGTGAATGAATGTGTGAAAGAGAGAGAGATGAGAGCTAGGCTGCAGGCTGACAGAGGTCCTGGTATAATACAGTGGTGGAGAGCTGCGACTGATAACTATACTTATGGCCACTGGGGCTCATAGTGACAGCACATGCACTTCCATTACTGGTCTCATGCCTCATGCCCATATCTCTGGCAGCCTGCCACAGAGGAAGCACACTGCCCTCTGCTGGTCATTTAGAAGAAATTCAGACGTTGAAAATTCAGGCAGATGTTGATAACCCTGACTCAGGGGACCTGACTTTGACAAAGCTGCTTCTTTTTGAGTTTTAGCAGAGATGAAGCAAAGCTAAAAAATAGACTTATCCATGTGTGATTTGTTGATTAAAAAATAAAACTGTTAAAGAAAATAAAACTGATAAACGACACTTTCCTAAAAAGAAAATCTAATCTGGGAAGTGTTTCATTACATGTCTGATTCATGTAATTTTTTTTTGTTCTGTTTAGTGCTGAGTATACGAGGTGTGCAGGAGGAGGACCCCCCAGATCCACAGATCATGAGGTTGGACAACATGTTGCTTGCAGAAGGTGTGTCAGGACCAGAGAAAGGTGGAGGATCAGCTGCAGCTGCTGCAGCTGCTGCAGCAGCAGGAGGCTCACCCACCGATAGCAGCATTGAACACTCGGACTACAGAGCCAAGCTTACCCAGATTCGTCAAATATATCATTCTGAGCTGGAGAAATATGAACAGGTTTGTTCAGAGTAGACAAATTATTATATAGCTTTCATTTGTTAGTTTTGTTGGGCTTCACAACACAAATGCAGAAACTATATAATATAGAGCACAAAGCAAGCATTAAGATTTATTTTGCATATAAGTTCATGCTGTTTGGAGGATAAACAACCATAAACTGGCTTGTTGGACCTTACTTTAATAAGCACTTTTAAACTATTCAGCACTACATGACTCTTCCTTTTGGCTTTAATAGAAACTGCTGTGGTTATGTTTGAAGCTACAACTTATGCATGAACTCAACCACATGTCTAAGGCAGCAAAAAGTGGGGCTATATTATAGGCTGTAAAAAATTTTATCATTATCCAGTTTACCAAAAATTGATGATGAAATTTGTGTACTAGTAAGCCCCTAACAATGCAATTTAAAATGTGATTATTTTTTTTTTAATTGGTCATGCATTAGAATATTAGTATAGAAAAATCTAAAATTATATCAATACATTTGGTTTGGAATTAGTTTAAACACTCTTGAGCATCAAAAAATCAATATGTTCGAATTTTTGTCTCGCAGCAAAACATTTAATCATTTTGAGTTTTAATGGTTTAAATGGTACTAGGAATTCACAAACCCAGTATCATATTATTCTGTCTTTCATGGCTAGGTGAAATCATCTGTCAGTAAAGAACTCACTCACTGAGGTCTCATCAAATACAGGACAACCTCTGCTTCGCCCCATCTTTGACAATAGCGTTTCACCCTTTCTCCTTTTTTTTTTTTCCCCCAAGGCCTGCAGTGAGTTCACCAACCATGTAATGAACCTGCTGAGGGAGCAGTCTCGCACACGGCCCATCTCTCCCAAGGAGATTGAGCGCATGGTGGCCATAATCCACCGCAAATTCAGCTCAATTCAGATGCAGCTCAAACAGAGCACCTGTGAGGCTGTCATGATTTTGCGTTCACGCTTCCTTGATGCCAGGTCTGTCTGTGTGTGTTTGGCTGATATTTCTATATAATAATGTATAGAATAGCTCATTTTAAAGCTGTAGTTAATGGAGTACCTTTTGTCCAGACATGTACATACAGTACTAAAGGTTTGTTCATTATCTCTGTCTGTCAGACGTAAAAGACGCAACTTCAATAAGCAAGCTACAGAAGTGCTGAACGAGTATTTCTACTCCCACTTATCTAACCCTTACCCTAGCGAGGAAGCAAAAGAAGAACTGGCCAAAAAATGTGGGATCACTGTGTCTCAGGTAAATTACATTCATAACCATAAGAATAGCAAACGGAAAATCTTTGTGGTAGAAAAAATTGTTATTTTGTTTAAAAATGCTTTAGGTAATCATCATTTATGTTGGATACTTAAAGAGTATGTTGGAAAATAATTTTTAGGTAATTTTCTTTTGCTTGAGGTGCAAGTTAATAAAACAATTAAACGGTGAGCATAAATAAATGAATCTCCAAAACAATTTTTAGCTGAGAGGAGCACAGCAGCTAAATTACTGCAAATTAATCAATGGGTTGAAATCTAAATCCATCTGTTCCTTAGGTCTCTAATTGGTTTGGCAACAAGAGAATACGCTACAAGAAGAACATTGGTAAGTTCCAGGAGGAAGCAAACCTTTACGCAGTAAAGACAGCGGTGGATGCTGCCAATGTGTCGGCACAGGCCAGCCAGGCTAATTCTCCGGCAACGCCCAACTCAGGTACCTTTCACCATCATGTTTTTCCATCTGGTCATGCTGTAGCAAGTTAGCTATTTGAGGGGTTTTTTTTTTCTTCCTGTTTTCAATTTTTAACTCGAGCTGAACACAAACGTAGAACAGAAGAAAAGGAGCATGTGCTTTTTCCATACGTTTTTTTTTATTACTATTGGTTTTACCAGTGAGCACTTGATACTGTTTTGTTTCCCAGTTGTATTTGGTTTGTTAACATGTTATTCCCATCTATAAAATGTATGTTTGTGGCTCACTTGTTTTGAACACAATAAGTTGCCATGGGGCCTCATGTATCAATGGTACTTATGCACAGAAAGGTTGAGTGCTCCAGGTTCCACATACCGTACTTGTCGGCATGTATCAAAACGAACATTCGTAATAGTGTGCATAAATATATGCACACTTCTGAACTACCATGAGAGTGCGCTTACCGCCATGCAAACTTTCTCAGTCCACAGTTTTAAACAAAGTACTGAAACTACAAAGTACTCTGAAATGTGACTCCATAGGGTTTTCTGAATTTCAGGGGTACACAATTTTTTTTTTCACGAGTTTGAACATTTATAGTTTGAATCCGAATAAGGGGACTTGGACTACATTGAACCCCATACAGCATAACATACAACCCATCTCACAAAGTATCAAAACAGCCTCACTCCATTGTAAACTGTAAAGTTTCTTATCTTTATTGTCAGATGTAAACATGCGTCACTGACCGCACACCTGTAAGGCCCACAGACGGATGAGGATCATCAAACGTGTGTGAATTATCTAAGGGGCATTTCACGCTCACTGAGAAGAAAACAATTTCAAATCAGCAAATTGATTCAGAACAACTCACCTGTGATGATTCCTCAGAGCAGCAAGGTGCAGACCATCTCATTTGTCCATAAATAGCTATGTAAAGTTGTTAGTAATTGTAGGACGACGACAGCTGTGGTGCTGTAACAGAACATCACCACAAGAGGAATTGGGAGGGAGCATGTTTAGAGGATCACACTGATCAAACATGATTTCATATTCCATCCTGAGCTGTACCATGCCAGCTGTATGGGACAGCCTCATCCATATGATGCCCAGATATAATAAATTCCCTACACCATGGCTGAATCGCTTTGTTGAAGCGCATCAAGTCGTTTCTTCACAGCAACTATTTAAAGAATAAGCTAAGATTTACCAAGCTCCTGAATGTGTCTGTGTTTACAGTAATTATTAAATGCATGCTTAAAGTTGGAAATGCCTCAGAATCAAAGGTGCGCCACGGATCTGCGCCTCTATTAATTTAATAAAAACCAACGACAACACACACACATTCCTCTGTGCACATGTGTGGCAAACATGTTTTTACACCCACCACTTATTTAGGAGCATCTCTTGACTCACATTTATTAAATTCCTTGTCAGGAAAGGTGTTTCATGAGCGCTCAGTTCCACAGTCAGTGGGATGTATGATTGAAAGGTGCACACAATTAGATAAATCAGAACATTTCTACGCGCGCACATTTTTCTGATTTTGTCCCTACGCCAACTTTCAATATGAAACCTGCACCTTTTGACACATGAGGCTCCAGGTCTTTGACATTCTGTTATATATTTTGTTTCTATAAGAATGAAGTTTCTCGTTCTGTTGCTCTGAGTTAACTAAACTTCTACAGGCCTTTTTTTTTTTACTGAACTTTCTGGCTTTTAAATCATTATACCATAACTGGCACGTTGTAATCTAATGCTTGCCTCCATGGTCAATTAGAAACGTAATCATTTGGTCATGGCTTTTGGTATTGTTTTCTTGAATTCAAAATTTGTGCTGGTCATCTGATTCAGGTTTTGAAATTGACTAAACTTGAACACAGGGCTGGATATTAATTTAAAAGCAAATTATTACAGAAAGAGGAGAATGTGTCAGCTATGTAGCATTTTTTGTTTCTCCACCAACTGAAGTTTATTCACACAGTAATTAAATTGCTCCTCAGAGTTTTTGTATTGCAAATGGACATTTAATTTGAATGAGGGAGAAAACTGAAACATCTGCTGTAGCTGAATCCAGGCTGGGGGAAAAATGACAGCAAATGATGTATGTTCAGTTTAAATCCAGAGCTGTGTTGACAACTTCATATGTACATTGCAATCTAAAACTGGCGTGTTTGTTTGTTTTTCAAGTAATACTTCAATTGTATTTGAGAATATAAAACAATTAGTGGGCTGAAACAGCCTGTAACCTTTAAACATTTACAACATTAACAGCTTCACATCCTCTATTATTACCAGTCTGCCTCTTAACATGACCAGAAGACAACAAATTCATAATCTCACAGGAAGTGATACATGTTGGTCACTCTCAGTTCTCCAACTTATTCAACGTTTGAGAAGCTGATTATATATTCCACATAGTACTCAGTTAAGGCTGGAAAATGTGTTTGAAACTCATAGCAACTTGACAAACTATTCCTTTGGAGAAATCTTTACATTTAAGTATGTAAAATTACTTATAAGAGTAATTACAATGGTGTCCTTATATGAAGGTTGTTGAACAATTGTATACTTAGTTTGTGTCTTTGACAGTAGTAATAAATGATTCCGCTGTACTGTAATTTGATTGACAAAAAGTATCTTTAAAAAATAGACATACACTCACACACTACCTGGAGGGTTACAAGGGTCATACAGATTTTCTCACACAGGTGACACTTACCTTGGCCTGCATTCCCTCAACGGTGAGGGTCTGAACTTCGCCCCCTCTCTACAGCCTCAGGTATGCAGTGAGGGCCGCTGTAGAGTTGATCTCAGTGGTGCTAACCTAATCACCAAGCATCCCTGTGTGCCTCCCCATAGCTTAGCTCCTTTTGACCTTCCCTTGGATTTTGCCCTATCCATACCTTTGACCACTAGCTCCTGCTCCACATAGTACAAACTGACCATTTTTTGATCTGAGAACTTTGCAAAATATAAACCTTATGAAGAATTGTTGCTTGCTGCTATTTAAATTTGTGGTAGTTATCTTTATTTATATACAGTATATAGTTTACATAGGGTCTGCCTATGTTCAGAACTTGTTTAAGGGCTTTAGTAGTGTTTTAGTACTATTCAGTACTATTTTAATGGACAGCATTCAGCTGGAATAATCCAACAGAATAAAACTAGAGTTTAAATAGGTTTTTCATTAATGGTCAGTTTATTTGTCCCTACGTTTGTGACTCCTCTAAAGGTATTCAGGCCTCCTGTCTTTGTCAGTCCTCGTTTTCTCAACCTGAACCAAACAAACATCCTGCGTTACACCATATGTCCACCCTCTTACCCTATGTAGTCCATTAAGACACATTTTTAAACTATGTTGATATTGGATCTATTTGTGCTAGTTTGAATGAGTCCACAGGTTTATGCTGAATGTCCTATACAGTCAAATTATTAACAATAAATGTAGAAAATTGTGTTTTAGCCTTTTTAATAGTTTGTGTAGAGTTTGATGCGGATTACTTTTTTTTTTAATGCAGATGGATTTTCACGTTCTTTCACATTTGTTTGTGGGTGCCTTCTGCATGGTCATTTGGTTAATATTCCAAGTATGCTCATGGTTTTGTACAAATATTTTGTTTCTGATAGGTGGATACCCTGCACCGTGCTACACACCTGACGGACGGTTATGAGGAGTTGTCGAGTAGTGGCCTCTTCATCCCTCATCGTCTGGATGTTAGTACCAAATGAAAGCCACTGCTGTGCTTTGGATGTTTCTGTAGCTGGCATTTGACATTTTGGTTGTTTCTATTAAAGGATAGTAAACAAAGGCAAATTAAGTAAAAATTTTGCTCAAACTATAATTATGTCTAACTTTAATAACTTATTAAAAAGTTAAGGAATAAAGAGGGAAATAGTTTTTACAAAATATTACATAATACATTAATATTTGTCGTGTTGGGTTTTGTAACAGGTCCTCTTCTACCAATCATTATAAATTATAAAGTAAATGTATTTAAAATACCCCTACTAGCCAAGCTGAGATTGTTTTTTTTAATTTGTAACATGTATACAATGTACATTACTACATGCAGAGCTCAAAATAGTCATAAATCTAAAAACACTTCAAAAGATTGTTGCAATTTAAAGCTATTTTCAGAGACGGTACAAGAGTTTTAAATCAAACGCAGCTTGCATTCGTTTGCTTTTAAGGTTCCTCATAATGTAAAGTACTGGGATGCAAAGAATGATGTGAGTGAATGAGAATTGACAGCTATGAAGCAAACAGTTTGGGGAAGAAAGTAAACTGTCAGCTCTAGTTGTGTGTGGTTTTTTAAACTGTTGCTTTCTTTTAAGAAGAAAGATCATTCTGACTCTTCTTCCTGCAGTCTCCAATTCTATGCTTGAAATGGCAACCACTGTGAACCATTTCTGTCATATAAACCAGATACTTGATTTTATAATTAAATTATTTTAGAAAATTTAAAGTCATTCATAAAGGAACGGTTGGATAAATAATTACCCTACTTATTCAAATAAACCAATCTGAGGACACAAGAAGATTTTTAAACTGTCGTTACTTGCAAGAGCAGACTGTCATGAAACAGGGTTTCATACATGTCCAAAGTTACATGCTCTGTGCCTCGTCATGAGAATCTGCACCGGACAGTGAGAGAGCAGTGTTTTTATAATGCACGCTTATCAGACAGAGGCAGGGCAAGACGACCTCTGCTTCCCAGCTTACAGACTCTGAGGCGTCCTTGGAGTTATCAGGTGCGCCTGCAAACTCCTCTCTGAGGAAAACCAACGCTCTGAACTCACACACATTCATTTAACATTAGTTAATGACAAACATCCATAAACGTTTACCAAAATTCTCCTGACAGAAACTATTTGCTTTTTTTCCAGTCGGATTAAATCTGTTATCATTCTGGTATCTTGAGACTACTAGTAAATCATTTGGGCTTTGGAGCTAATTAAAACTGATTTTAAAAGGCCAACTACAAATTCTTCATGCTGAATTTTTTTTCTGCTCTGTCTGCAGGCTAACAGCTGGCAGGACACCACCAACCCCCCCTCAGTCACCTCCCCTCCTGGTCCTGGCAGTGTCCACTCTGACACCTCCAACTGATTTGGTGGCTCGTTTTTTTTCACCTTTGCTTCATTCCCACTGCGGTCTTCTCTTTTAACCATCTTTTGTCCTTATTTTGCATTTCTTCCTCATCAACAAGCCTCACAACGTTGTAAACAAATGTCACGCGCACGTGCTGTGCTGGAACAAAGGACAGCTGTACAGTAGTTAAGAGGATTTCTCCCTTCAGCTCTATTCCAGCGCTCCAATCTTCATAAGTCACAAAGGGGAACGGAGCACACGGATACTAAGAAAAAATCCTTTCTGTCGAGGAGTTTTGGAAAACCACTGATCCAGCTGTGTAGATGATCATGATGTCTGTACATTATGTGTATATGCACGTTAACTTTACACAGTACTCTCAGCTTGTTCATGTGCCGTTGACCTCTACATTCAACTCTTTGCTTTGGGAAACTGTGTGTAATTGCCCGTATCTACTGAAGCCTTGGCATCTGACAGTCAAACTATGGATACGGACCACGAGGGAGCTCTGCTCACCTTGCTTGTACCAAAGTGCTGCCCCAGTGTTCCTCTGAGATTACCCTCTGCCAGCTCAACACAAGACACAATCGCATCTTCGTGTCCTTAAAACTTGATGTGTCATCCTGTTAGGATTTCAAAAAGAATAACTGCGATATGCACAAAGGTGCATGCATCGATTCACCAAACACATATCACAACTTTTCAGATGTTTTCATATTGAGCTGACATAAAAGGTGTGTCAAGCACAAATGTTGGCATCCTTGTTATGAGCTTATACCTTTTTTTGAACGATACTTGGGTGGATCACTTTCTAACCACAGCAGGACAAGTGATAATTGGGTTGATGAGAAGAGGAGAATGAAGGCAGAGAGAGAATATCTTTGGTTGAGTGGCTGTAACTACCAGTAATAGCCCTTTTTGTTGCTAACCAATAGAGGGTGTTGGTAGATGGCTTGTAGAATTTACTTCTTACTTTCTTGTTTACTAGTTTATTTGATTGTAGGCTATTTTTTAATGCTGTTTCACCAAGAATGCACCAGCCACCACCAAAAATTACTTCACTAAAGCATCTTAATGACAAGAAAAGGGTGAAAAGATTGTGGGGCATCGATGTGTTATTGGGACAAACGTGACATGAATTTAGAAATGTGACTGTCTTCCATGCATGTAGGACTTCTAGGTGTGAAATCGTTTTCATTTATTCTTCCGAGTTTTTAGCTTAAGTTTTCTTAACAAAAAAGGTAAAATTATTACAGTCAGACCAAAAATGATAAAATGCATCATGTATTACTATGATGTGTGTCTGTGTGGGCATGTGTACAGGGTTCAAGGGAGGTCTTATTCACACTGGCTGGTGCCCATTTGAACTTTGTAAGCATTATTTAGACTTGGCGCTTCCACCAGCTAATAGCACATAAGATGGGGTTCAGCTGATTTATTTCCCATCTTGTAATGTTTAAGCTCGAGAGCCCAAGGCAACACATCACAACCTATTGTTGTACCAAAACCAAAAATACCAAGTTCAGAAATGTAATAATGCTATTCTGTCTCTTTAAAGTTGGCGCACAGCCATCCTCTTACGTTTGAGGAGGGGAGGGATTATATTTGTATCTGTGTCTTTTTGTGGTGTTGTCATGCCTCGAGTTGTTTTATTTTATTTGTTTATGCTTTGTTATGGGGCTTACCTAAGTTTCTGGGTGGAGTGAACACATCACACCTGTAAGTTCATTGTCAGCATAACAGAAATGTACTCCCCTTTTATCTAACCTTTAATAACCTCTGGTTAAAAAATGGTTTTTGTTCTGTAGCCAATAGGGCAAGGGCTGCTCTGTTACCAAAAAAGGCAGCACTGGGTGTAGTAAACGCTTGCTTGTGAGACAAACCTGCAACATTTTGGGGATTTTCATCTTTTAAAAGCTATTTTATACATTAAATGTTATTCAAATAACAAAGCATTTTGATAGTAAGGTAAAGCCTTATTAGGATTTTGTTCAAACGTGTTACAGAACAGGACCTGAGCTTGAAAGCTAGTCACGTTAAACTTCTTTAGTTACTCGCAGCAGTTTGTACAGCTGCATCATGGGTAATGTTGTCGCCACACCAAAATCATGCGTGCCCCTTTTTCTACCTGTTGTAATGGATGTCACTGTACAGTTTGTGTAATGTTTCAGTATTTTTTTTTTCTTTTTATAAAAAAGTTGAGATATATCTCACAATATTCAATAACTCTGTATCACCTTTGGATATTATTTAGGTCTTTTGTTATGTAACCAAGTTGCAATGTAGGGTTAACAAACGTAACGTGGTGCTGTGGAACTATTATAAATCTCTTGATTTGACCCCCCCACCCCCACCCCTCTCATTTAGTTTGATTGCTCTTTCATTTACGCTCATTCAACAAATAGGACACTTAATTTCAAAACACTAATCATTAAAGCCAAACACCAGATGTCAATATATCCTATTTGTGAACTTGTGCTTTTTGCAGCAGAGCTGTAACTCTTAACATTTAAAAACTTATTTGTATGCTGTCAAACATTTTGATTTTGAGTTATGAGTTCCACAGCACCAAATGGCTTTATGAACTTTTTTGATTTCTTTGTTTTTATTAGTATATTTGTATCTCCCTTTCCCCCTGTATTTACCCCTCTCTCTACCTCTGTCTTTCCATTTCTCCTGTATATAACCCCACCGTTTTCAGACTTGTGAGTCTGTATAAACTCCTTTTATACCTCAACTTTAGAATCGATCTAGAAAGAGTAAAACAAAAACGAAGAATATGACAAATTGTAGTGTTCTTAATAGAAAATTAATACAAATAATTTAGTGTGATTTTTTTTTTTTTTTTTCCTTCAGTATTTCATTTTAGGAGTGTTTCATTTTATAATTTGTCACAAATGCTCTTGTGATAGTCAAATGTAATAAAAGGAGAGATTGCACCATTTGACGATTGGTGATTTATTTATTTATTTTTATATATACACAAACTGAAACGTCTTTCTGCAGCTCTGGCAGGAAATTGGCAGCTGTTCTTCAAGTCAAAAACTATAAAAACAAAAATCAAAATATTTACTCAGAATATTTTATTTTTCCATCTGCCATCTCTACGGTCGGTGTGTCCTGAAGCTTCCACTCTTCTGAACAAGGTCAAAGGTTTTCTGTAAACAAATTCAACAATAGTATACTCAGCTGGGTTAGACGAATATTTCTAAAGTCAGCCGTTTCACAAGTTATTTCAGATAATTTGGAACAAAAACGTTTACATTAAGTTGTAAAAGTACTCATCCACTTTTAGTATTTATTTTCTCTTAATTTGTTGGTTTACAATTTAAACTGATTTTCCCACGGCATAATGCTGCCACTACCATGCTTCAAGGTAGGAATGGTGTTTTCAGCATGATGGGAGCTGGTGGATTTGCCTCAGCTGTGGCGCTTTGTGTGTGTATAGATATATATAATAAATCCATGTTTTTCTCATTTAGCTGTTAATCTGGAGTACTTTTGAATTAGAAGTGAAGTAAATTCCAAGTTGTAAGGCAACAACGCAGACTAACAAAAGAGACAAATAATGTTGCAAGGCAGTGCAGATAAAATCACATCTTCCCGTCAAATTCACAACAAAAATGCCCTCAAATCCAGCTTTAGCAGAGCAACGTGCAACAACGTGTTTAATCAGAAATCGGGAGGCGTGCAAGAAGCTTAAAAATAGAATGCCGCAGACAGGAAGTGTCATGAGTGGAAACAGAATGTGGAACTTTTATTTTGCAGAACTGCATCTGGTTGTTCTATGTGGTTGTTACTCTTTAAGCGTTACCTCCGTTAGTGGGGAGTCGATCTCGATGGGCGAAGACACCTGCTGCCGATCAACACCTTTCCGACACAAGCAGCACAGGATCCACTTGAACGTCCGCCGCATCTCGTCGTCCCGCAGAGAGTAAATGATTGGATTGACCAGAGAGTTGCACTCTGCTATCACCAAGCAGTACTTCTCATATTTCATGGCGTTGCTGCGTTTACCCAACAGGCCGTCCATTAGGAGAATTATGAGGCCGGGTGTCCAGCAGATTACAAAGGCCCCTGGTGAAAAGTGGATTTTTTTTTAGCTAACAATGAATGTAGAGAATAATAATTATATGCACATTTTTCGCTGAACCGCTAATGTAACATGACTCCAGTCTACGTTGCGTCATACTTCCTCGATTGTTTAGTTTGTTCTTAGCTGGTATGTAGAACAATGTATCTGTCAGGAAATGAGTCACCTGTGCAGTCAACACAGATCAGGACAAGATAATTGGAGATCAGTGGAATTTTCTAACCTAGAGTTAAATCGGTGTTCACAAAAGCAGAAAAAATCTCAGAACTGGTTTGTGGAGCCATATCAGTCATGCAGAAATCATGATAAGCTTCTATTCAACGACCTAAAGCACTAATACTTTTAAAATGGTACTTGAAGTTCAGAAGAACAGATAAATAAATATGAAACCAAATCTACACAATTTGTTTCTCTCAGATGGTGTGTCCTTAAATTAAAAACTGAAATGCAAAATTTGTGATTGGCTTGAAAACTATTCGAGTTAAACTACTTCAGTTTGCACCATTTGATATAGTTGTGGTAAGTACCTTTACAAACATTTAAGTCATTAGGTTTCTGGTGACATGAAAGGCTGCGCAACAAGCTTCACAGAGATCATGCAGACGCTGCTCGTTCTCACCCAGAATCATGGAAATGGTTTTCATCAGGTTGACAACCGTCTGGTTGTGTCGCATCTCTGAGGTGTGCTGAGACATGTCCCGACCCTGGCGCTTCACGTAATAGAAAATACGAGCGTACACGGCCACCATGATGAAGAAAGTGAGCAGGTTGAGAACTGCCCAGAAAATGAGAAAGCGGCGGCTGTAGAGGGGCGCGACAGTGGAGCAGTCATCGAGATCACATTCACAGTTCCAAAGGGTTGAGGGAACCAGACCCATAATGATTCCTATGGCCCAGATGCAAACTATGAGTAGCACCACACGCCTCTTGGTCATGTTGCTGTGTAGCTGCATGGTGATGATGGTCTGGTGGCGCTCCACAGCCACAGCTAGCAGGTTGGCTACAGAGGCAGTCAGGCTGATGTCGATTAAAGCCCCACGGATGTACCACTGCTCCTTAGAAAGCATTCGAGTCCATGGGCCTGTGTTCAACATCAGGTTAGCGTAGGCGAGACCTGCAAACAGGTCTGCTGCTGCCATGTTACCCAGGAGGTAATAGATGGGGAAGTGGAAGCGGCGGTTCTTGAAGATGGCTACCATCACCAACAGGTTGGCCAGGACTACAATAAGACATACGGTCAACCCCAGTCCGATGACTAAAAAGTCCCGTACGGTCCACTTTTCTCTGATTTCCTTGTCCACCCTGTTGTAGAAGAAGGTGACATTTTCATTGGAGTAGCAGGTGTTCCCCACATTGTTTTCAGAGACCATAACTGCAGACACAAGTAGAAAAAACAAGTTCTATAAACAGATTCACTCCCCGACCTGGAATATCGTACGAATTTATAATAATAATAATAATAATAAAGCTTGTTGAACTTTTAAAACGGTGACTCTGTAAATATTATCATTAAAAAAAAGTGTGGTTCACAGTTGACATGCTTTCATAAATGTTATCAAAAATCTGCATTATATGTAGATCTTTCAACATTTATTTTAGTGATTTCTTTAAAGTTTTTCCTGCAAAAATAGAGCACTCGAATCAATTTATCTATTATGACAATCAACAACACCTCTGATGATTAAAAAGTAAGGACAAAGTAGGCCTTTATATTAATTAAATAATGTTTTAGCACGTTTCAGTGAACCTTGACAAATCTGTTTCCTCCACAGCCCCTGTCACATGTGGAGTCCCCCAAGGATCCATTCATGGACCCATTTTATTTTACATTTATATGCTTTTTTATTTTATTAAAAAAAAAAAAAATTTAACATCTTTTCACGGTTACACAGACAACAGTCAGATCTATCTTCAATTGAAGCACAGTCAGTATTTCCCTAAAACCACTGTTCGACTATTTCACTGAGGTTGTGGCTCCATGAGAATACAACTGAAGCTATTAATAGACCCAGTGCAAACCGCAGCTCTTCTACACATCTGGGTAGCCTGCAGCCATTTGAAAAATCTTGTGGGAAAAATTTGGAGGTGATATTTGATTCAAAATTTAACCCTGAGAAACAGAATAGTTCTTTAGATGTCCCTATTTATATTGAGGCTTTTATCTGAAGTGAAGTAGTTTGAATTATTTTATGACTTTGAACGAGGGATTCATGCTTTTATTACCTCCCAGCTGGATTACTGGAACTCTGTCAGTCAGGCTGACCTTTCACGACTGCAGTTAGTTCAGAACGAACAAAAAAAAGTGTGAACACATCTCCCCGGTGCTCGCTTCCCTTTGTTGGCTCCTTGTTATATTTAGAATATTTTAAAAGTTTTATTGTTGACCTTTAATGGCCTGAATGGACAGGTTTCTCTATCTCTCTCTGACCTCCTGCAGATCTCTTAAATCTAATGATCATTTGCTTTTAGCTGTCCTGAGGTCTCGGATGGTCCACAGAGGTGATCGGCCCTTTTCAGTTGTAGCTCCGAAACTGTGGAATCCACTGCCCCTTCATAGAAGACGAGCTTAAGTCTCATCTTAAAACACATTTTCACTCACGGGTTATTAATTACCAGAAAGGTCTGGAATGGGAAGAGAAGCATCACTGGTCAGAAAAAGACTGCAGCAGTGATGGGAGGAGACCAGCAGAAGACCAACAACAGGTTTGACGTTGTGAACACTGCACACCCCTCACCCATACCTCCAACACCTTCAAGGGGTACACCACACCTCCTAGACAACCCCACCCCTCCTCATCATCAACATAATGGACCCCAGCTGCAACCCCCTTCACCTAACACCCCTCCCCCTCCACCATCATTGTCTTCCCAAAACACATCAGAGCCTCCAGTCCCCATCAGCAGGGAGGCTGTGAGGATGGAGCTCAGCCGTCTACGTCCTGGCAAGTCTGCAGGTCCAGATGGATTGAGCCCTGAACTCCTGAAAGGATGTGCAGTTCAGCTGTGTGATGTTTCCAGCACATTTCTCACCTGAGTATGAGGGTGGTTCCTGCTCAGTGGAAAACAACATGCCTGGTCCCAATGCTGAAAAATAACCACCCAAACTCACACAGTGACTACAGACCTGTGGTCTTGACATCACATGCCATGAAGTGACTGGAGAGGCTGGTCCTGAAGCACGTCAGATCTGTGGTGGAACCATAGCTGGACCCCCTACAGTTTGCATACCAGCCACGCATTGGAGTTGATGACGCCATCATCTACCTGCTGCACAGAGATAACGCACACACCTGGACAGGGCAGGCAGCATTGTGTGTCATGTTCTTTGACTTCTCCAGTGCTTTTAACACCATCAGACCTGCTCTACTCTGCAGTAAGCTCCTGGACATGCAGGTGAATGACTCGCTGGTCACCTGAATCAGAGACTACCACACGGGTCGGCCACAGTATGTGAGGCTAAAGAACACCGCCTCGGACACCATACTGAGTAGCACAGGAGCGCCTCAGGGGACGGTCCTCTCACCCTTTCTGTTCACACTCTACATCTCGGACTTAAGGTACAACTCACAATCCACTCACAATCCTGCCATCTGCAGAAGTTCTCAGATGACTCGGCCATTGTGGGCTGCATCATTGGACCAGGAAGCTGAATACAGAGGTGTGGTGGACAGAACCACCCGCAACTCAACATTGGAAAAATTAAAGAGCTGCAGGTGGACTAATCCCCAACCCTATCAACATCAAGGGTACTAAGGTGGACACTGTGGACTGCTACAAGTACCTGGGGGTCCACCTAGACAATAAACTGGACTGGACAGCTAACACCAACGCCCTCTACAAGAAAGGGCAGAGTTGCCTTTTTCTTCTGAGGAGACTCAGGTCCTTTAACATCTGCAGGACCATGCTGCAGATGTTTTACCACTCGGTGGTCTCCAGCATCTTCTTCTATGCTGTGGTGTGCTGGGGCAGCAGGGTGAAGAAAGCTGATGTCAACAGACTCGATAAACTCATCAAGAAAGCTGGGGGTGTCTCTGACAGAGGTGTCTGAGCAGAGGATGCTGAGGAAACTGCTCCAGATCCTGAACAACACGTCACACCCCCTGCATGACACACTGGACTCTTACCGCAGCACCTTCAGTCGTAGACTGAGACCACCGAGGTGCTCCACAGAACAGGAAGTCCTTCCTCCCTGTGACTATCAAAATTTTAACTCCTCCCATTTTCTACACATAGGACAATAAAATTAATCCTGTACTACAATAAACACTTTAATGTTTCTGTCTACACCTGACCTGTTTTAGAACTTAATTGTTGGTATTTTTATATTCTGTT